TGTGTGTGTGTGTGTGTGTGTGTGTGTGTGTGTGTGTGTGTGTGTGTGTGTATGTGTGTGTGTGTGTGTCAGTTCTTTGGGCGAGGCTAAATAGGCAAATGATATTTCTTTAAGCTAGGTGATAGGTCTTTAAGCGAAGCTACACGGGTTGTAAAGGTAGTTTTTTTTTCAGCGAGGCTACATAGGTAAGTGGCAGATCCTAGAGATAGGCTACATTCGTAAGTGACAAGATCCTAAGCTGGGGCATAGGTAAGTGACAGCTCCCAGAGACAAGGCTACATAGGTAAGTGTGGTGTCCTTACATGAGGCTACATAGGTAAGTGTGAGGTCCTTAAACGAGACAACAATATAGATAAGTGACTGTACCCTAAGCTGAGGCTACATACCTCGTTGGTAAGTGAGCGTGTCTTAAGTTGGGGATGTGTTATAGGTACGAGACAGCTACCAGAGATGAGGCTACATAGGTAAGTGATATCTACCAGAGATGAGGTCACATAGGTAAGTGACAGCTACCAGAGATGAGGATACATAGGTAAGTGATAACTGCCGGAGATGAGGCCACATAGGTAATTGACAATTCGTCGAGAAAAGAGATAAGTGACAGATTGTAGAGCTGTGTCAATAGCAGATGTACGTAACAGATCCTAGAGATAAGGCTTCATAGGTAAGTGAGAACTCTTAGGTTAGAGACAATGACGGGGTTCCATTAGGTGGAATCTTTGTTTTTCACTTCGGACAAACTGTTTCATAGGAAACGTAAAATAATATTTTGGAATATAATTATGATCGATATGTTTTGCTGGCAACTGAGGCTAGTGAGAATTGTGTTGGGAGTTCAAGTTTGGAACAGACATTTTAAACCAAAAAAGAACTTTGTGAGCTATGTAATCAGATCTGTCATCGGACACCAGAACATAAAATTACAATCAAGGTCTTAATGTGTGGTGTGTGTGGGGGGGCTGTTTGTGTGTGTGTGTGGGGGGGGGGGGTGCGTGCAAAAAAATGAGGGCGGTGGAGGTCGTGTAATTTGAGCATTGAGTATACCGACGTGTGTGTGTGGAGAGAGGGTGTGGTTCTTTTGTCCGGCGGCTTAGTTGAAATGTTGGAAAATGCAGACACGGGCGGGTACAGGTGACGCTGTCGTGACTTCCCGTAACTCTGCGCAGATCAAAGAGCTTATAAATAAAGTATTTGTCGCAGATAAGTTCCGGTACAGACAAGCATATTTAAAATTTAAGGAACTGTTCATATCCAATGAATGGAGAATTTGTTTCTCTGCAATAAACAATATATAAATGTCGATAGTTTCAATTTCAAACAAAACAGAAAACAGAGCAATCACAAATACCACAAAACGGACTTAACATGTATTCATTGTTATTTTGCGTAGGAGCCATTGGTAGTGTAATGCACGAACCCATAGGGCATCAACTCTGCTAAATTGAGGACAATTATCAGTCATTTCATCCCAGATGTCACAG